TGTCAAACCATTCCAAAGTAGACCACAGAAATAATGACCTTGATTCTTAAACTCTTTAGCATGCATTTCCCAAGAACGAAGACAGACTCTTCTGTACCCATATCATTACCATATGTATTAGTTTTATGTTGCAGTCTTGTAGCAAATTAGCACTGTTGTCAAATATGCTTGGTAATTTGAGTCAGTCTTGGCCTTTCCCCTGCTCTGTTCTTTATCATAGGGGAACCGACTTTGCAGGCAGCATTTCCTAGGCTCTTAGGGCAGTTAGTTATCTTAGGTCTAGGCTCAGCAATCAGAATTGGTGATGGTGGAAGATTTGGGGGACAGGGCCGGGAGAGAGGGACAGGTCTGAGTGTGTATATATATATATATATATATATTAGGTGATCGGATATAGCACAGGTCTGCAGATCAATCCTTGAAACTATTTGCGATGTTTCCTTCATAATTGTATCAAGTCTGCTGAAAGTGCAGGGTTTTCTTTCTTTTTTGCTTTCCTTTCAGTAGATAACAGAATTCTTTAAAGACTAAATGGAGCCAATTTTGAGCATCTTTGGCAAAATTTCCTTAAATGAATTCTTGTCAGATAGACCTTTTTAAAGATTGTAATTGTGTGGTAAAATTAAGTTAAATAGGTTTAACACTCTTGGCAAAATTATCTTAAATGAATTCTTGTCAGCTAGAGCTCTTTACAGATTATAAATAATTGTATGGTAAAAATTCAGCTTAACAGGTTTAGCCTTATTCTTTAGTTTCATAGGCTTCTATGAGAGCCGGTTGGCCAACCGATTAGAAAGTCAAGTCCTCAGACAGGATCCAGTACCCAAAACACTCATGTTGTGAGTTCTGATTTCTGCTCCTGGCTGTGTCTGATCATATTTGAGCAATTACTGAGCACCCGTTACTTCTGAGTTTCTATTACTTCACCTTCTGAAGACAATGTTAATTTGCTGCCTATTTCATTCAAAAATACATAGTGTCTTCATTAAATAATGCGTTGTCATAATAAGCAGAAGATGAAGGGTATTTAAAATTCAGGCCTAGAAAGAGGAAATAATATTGTCCAGTTGCCTGGTAGCAGCCATTTTGTCTGTGAGGTCCTCTGCAGGAGACAATGACTATGTCTTCCACAAGCCTGGAGCCACCAATCCAGACCAGCTTCAGACCAGTGCACCTACTGCCTCCGACTTTGGCACAAGTAACTAATACCCATGTCCTCCAGTTTTATGTGCTGGGATAACTGACGTGCCCACTTGTAAGTTCTCTCATACGTGGTGAGATGTTCCATTTTTCTCTTCACTAAAACTTAAACTTGTTTTTTGGAGAATATATGGACAGTATAGAAAATCACAACGCATGATACAATCCTGCAGTTGACATTTTGGCATGTAGACCTCCAGCCTTTTTGTGGTTCATATATTTAATTATTTTCTTAATATCATATAGTACCTATAGTTGGGTAAGTTTATTTCACACAGCTGCATATCATAATGAAAAATAAGCTATACCAAACATTATTCTATGTTATCAAGCTTTTTGTATGCATAATTCCTAATGACTTCATGGTTTTCCATACTGTAGATAGATCATATTTTAATAAATCAGAGGGTTTGGAAAAAATCTGTAGTCAAGCAGCTAAAGCCATCCCTTTAAGGTTATTCTAACACATAAAACCTTCCACCAAGCTCTTTGACACACACAAATCCTCGAAGGAATGATTTTTTTGTGTGAAATGGTTATAACTGTCAATCACTTCTTCTCTGTGTCATAGTTTCTGTGCTCTTTTCAGGTTGTTAGGGGGTGATTATGGATTCCTGTCAAATGAGATGTCTGCTATGTATTCAACATGAGGCAGTTTGGATTTTTCTCAGTCTATTGCTCTCCTGTCTGAGGAGGTTAAGCAAATCTCAGGGAGCCAGAGGGAAATGGGATAGGCATCAAGCCCCGGTAGCACACGGCAGACTTACCCAGGGCCCAAGATCTCCACTCAAGCAGATTAGGCTTCTACATAAATACATTTGTCTTGATTGTCACATTCCACCTAGGGTTCCACCTAATCTGCATAAAAATGGCTCCAAGCCTGGTTTTCAAAGCCATTTGCCTCCCCTGTTGATTTTTCACCACCCAGCTCAGAGGCATTTTTTTGTGTTATATCTATCACAGATGATTAAGGGGCTCGAAGAGTTGATATATAAGGGCAGATTAAGAAAACTAAATATTTACAATCTGACTGAGTGACAGCCAAGGGGAAATGCTTTAAATGTGTTCTGGGCTCGAATCATGGAGGAGACATTGTTTTGCTTTTCCTAGTAAGTGGATTTTAGAGCTATCCAAATTCAGAGAAAGTTTTCTTAGGATGACATCTCGTATGCTAATTAGATAAATGACTCAGCTAAAAATTGCATTTAGCAACTACTAACAGAAACTTGAAATAGCCATGGCTTAAACAAGTAGGGTTTCATCTTTCTCTGCTATGACATGACGCTCAAAAGCCCTTTTATTGTCTGGGATTGCATTGTTGCTCCGTGAGGGCATCAGTGCACCATCGCCCCATTGTATTTGGGCTCAAGGACTCTCAGCACTGGCTTCCGTACTCGAGGTCCCCTGATGTTTGAGAAGAGCTTCTGCAGCCCCAGTTGCCCTGGCTTTGTTCCAGAAAGAGAGAAGGCAAAAGAGGTCTCTGCCAACTGAGAGGGCTTCCTCGAAGCCCACCTACTGATTGTAGTTTACATCTCACTGGCCACCACATCTGCAGGAAGGGCAGGAAAATTTAGTGGGGTTTTTTGTTTCATTTTAAGTTGGATACATTACTGAACCCAACAGCATCAGGGTCCTTTTACCAAGAACACATGGGATCATGGATACTGGGTAGGCAACTAATGGTTTCTGTCACGATAATTAACTTCCTGAAGATGCTGATAAAAGTCTGGACTGTGAGACACTCTGGTGTTACAAGGTTCTATTTGTAAAACTAGCCCTTGATATGTAACATATTTCTTCCTGCTCATTCTTAACTACTTAAATTCATTCATCATCCCATATCTTGCGTCGATGCTAAATAAACTACAGACTCAAACTCATCAAACTACATCTCAACAGACCTAAGAATAATAATGACAACACAAGATTTACCAAGTTGTTTGCACTGTGTTATCACCTGAATGATTTGCTTCAAAATATTCTGAAGTGGTGTTGGGGAGGCGTAAATAAGGATAAATGGAATAATGGAGTCCATGAGTTGCTAATAGTTGGAGCTGGGAGAGAGAGAGTTACATGGGAGGTTATACTCTTCTTTCTAGTTTTACATAGTTATTGAAATTTTCCCAGTGAAAAGCTATAAGAGTCACATCCAATCCTTACATTACTTCATATTGGGTCGATTCTTTTACCCCTAGATAATAATGCTTGGGAAATTAAGCAGTGTCACACAACAAGCAAGTGGCAGATTCAGTATTCAGACCCGGGTTTATCTCATTTTGAAGTCTGTATTCCACGCTTGCTATTCAAGGAGAACATGCTTCTCAGACAAGCAGCCTGGGCATCACCTGGAAGTCAGTTAGAAATGCAGAATTCAGGGCCCACCCCAGGACCTTTTCCTAGCCCCTTAGATCAGAGTGGTGCATACCCACATTCCATGTGCTCGGTTCACTGCTCCTCATTGCCTCAACATCAACTGCAATTTTTCCTTTAAAAAAGATAACCCTGTGCTAAAATAAGGAGGCTAGTCATGACTCACTACTTGGTAGCATAAGCATTTTAGATAAGCATTTGATTCAGAGCAGTTGTTTCTTTCAACATTGGGCATCTGCTGTAGTGCTGGGCGCTAAACGCCTATGTGTCAATTAAGCATCTTTCTGACTGTGTCAACAATTGTTATTAATCATTGCACGCTTGAAACTTAATTTGGCTTGTTCTAGTTAAATTAAGCTCTTGATTCTTCTCACTTAAGGTGTGTTGGATTTTAAAAGCCTTGGGACTTACAGAAAACTCTCCAGGTGCCTATTCCAACCTCCTCCAGCATCAGTTCTGCTTACTCACCTGTGTGTAACCTTCCTGAAAAGCCGTGACTTTTTTCCCTAACATTCTCAGTCATCTTTTCTAATTTTAGCTCTCTTCCTTTTTAAAGGGAAAGGAACCTGTAGAAATTAGCCCGCCTGAGTCCCAGCTTTGCCGCTCATGTGTCATGTAGGCAGAACAGTTGACTGTTGGAGCCTCCACTTCATCTCCGCAGTGGCTAAGCTATATGATCTCAGGTCCCTTCCAGCCCCATCCTTTGTAACTTGATTTTTAACCCCTCCCTTCCCCCACACAACATATTGAAGACATTGGGCTCTGTGTGAAACCCACTCAATTATATTTTTCCAGTCCGGAGAAGGATCCCAATGTTGATTTTTTTTATTTGGTTTCTCTTTCCAAATGCTAAATGCCTTAATACTTATACTTTATTTGTGTTGGATCCTTTTTAGAACAACTAAGTAAATAAATAAATGAATGAAGCCTGTCATCCCTCTCAGTTATAACCTACTCTCTTAATGAAGCTAGGTCTTCTTTGCTTTTGAACATTATTCAATATTTGCTAGGTGCCAGATTAACTTGGTTGTTTTATTTTTACTACAATAAGCTTTAAACCATATACATATTTAACACCCTAAGCTGTTTATCAACTTCTATAGCATGAGAAGAGGCAAGGAAAAAAACATACAGGAGAGCAGTATAGATGCCATCCCTAGGGACTGTCACTGTATAAATCAGGCCCATACTGGTCCCTGTTGAAGGCACAATCATTGGAGTCTCTTGTTCCTTCTTCCGAGAACTCTTTCCCCTACCAGAATAATGTTACATAGGCATGTGATAGTTGTCTCACAAAGTTAAACCTAGGAAAAAGCATGCTGTAAAATAGTGATTCTGTCAGTCTTTGTGCTAGGCATGCCTAAATCAGTGTTACCTGGTCCTACCTTTTACATGCTGTATATGAAGTGTGTTTCCAATTTGCTTTTCAGGGCAGCTTTTGGCAAGGAGTCTGAAGTTCTTATTGGGAACCTGGGTGATAAATTAATCCCTCCACAAGACATCCTTCGTGACGTCAGTGACCTCAAAGCCTTGGCCAACATGCATGAAAGCTTGGAATGGTTGGCAGGTCGAACAAAGTCAGCTTTCTCCAATCTTTCTACATCCCAGAGTAAGTATCCAGTAGGAAGCTGTCATGGGGACAGCTGAGGAGTTAGACTGAATGCTTTCATTGAAAGATGAGAGTGTACACTGGCCACCATGTAGGGGCATGTCCCAAGTTGCCAGAAGATCCTGGTTAGAATTCTGTTTGCGCTGCACCCCTCCTACTTTGTGATTCTGGGAAGGAACGAATCTTGGTTTCCCTGTGTGGAATATGAGAAGCCAGGAAGGCCCATGTTGACATAGCTTGATATCACGCTGTAGAAACATAAATTCATCTAGGATTGAGTCACAGTGTGTCAAGAACAGAAAGCAATACCTTCTTTCCTCCTTACAACAACTTCTCAAGGGCAAAAACTGTCTCAGAGCTCAGGGCTGTGCACACAGCTGACATCCTCATTTTAACTTGATATAAAGCTAATCTTTTTATTAGAGTCATAGAAGTGATTAAGGTGCTGGAAAATAGAGACAATGAAGACAACAAGTATTCCGGAAAAAAGATGGCTACGAGATAACAATCACAGGTTTCAAGGAAATTAAGGAATAGAAAATGAAATTAGGAGAAGCCTGTTTTTCTATCAAGGACCAATGACTTAGAGAAAAATAATTTGAGAACTTTAGGGCACATAAACTTTAATAACTATAATATTATATTTAAAACATTACTTCAGGAATATGTATAGCACAGTTAAAATAGAGACAAAGAAAACGTGATATACAGAAGGAATAAAGGAAAAGGCAGATTTATTTATTTATTTATTGAGACAGTCTCACTCTGTTGCCCAGGCTGGAGGGCGGTGCTACAATCTTAGCTCATTGCAACCTCTGCCTCCTGGGTTCAAGTGATTCTCGTGCCTCAGCCTCACCAGTAGCTGGGATTAGAGGTGTGCGCCACCACACCTGGCTTTGTGTTTTTAGTAGAGATGGGGTTTCATCATGTTGGCCAGGCTGGTCTCAAACTCCTGGGCTCAAGCGTTCCACCCGCCTCGGCCTTCCAAAGTGCTGGGATTACAGGCGTGAGCCACCACATTTGGCCCCAAAGACAGATTTAGCCCCTTGAGTGCTCACTACATGTGTGGCCTCATGCTGATGAGGCCCCTTGAGTGCCTATCCCACGGGCCAATGCAGGGTAGGAAGAAGGGACTGAAGAATGGGCTTCTGAGGGAGACCATAGAATCTTCACTATAAATCTTTTTAAAATATTACTACATATTTATACTTTTATTCTTATGTCTTTTATTAAAAATATTACTTACTTTTGAGACAGTCATGCTGTTACCCAAGCTAGTCTTGAACTTCTGACCTTAGGTGATCCTCCCATCTCAGCCTCCCAAGTAGCTGGGACTACAAGCACGCACCACCATGCCCAACTCTAAAAGACTGCTTTTTATCTGATGATAAAATTATACAAGTTTATTCTCAGAAATCTATAAGAATAGAAAATGTGTCCACCAATTAAGGGTAGTTTGGGCACAATATTACTTTTGAGCAGATTCTGCAAAAGGAGGTATCCTTAAAGGCCCCTTCAACTTTATAATCCTGTAATATCGGGCAGTTCTATTACAAGCAGCAGTTTAAAGTATATGTTTTATCTCCCAAACCCACTCTGTTCCCTGCCGCCCTCTAGAAAAAGTCAGAAAGAAGTGATGTTTTCCTTGCTAATAGCAAAATGAACAGCTCTAAAAAAGGGACCACTTGCCTCCTTTCCTGGTTTCTTTAACTTGCAAATGCAGAGCTGCTAAGTTAGGTTATGTAGTAATGTTTGGAAGGAGTGTTCTCATTTAGTATGTCATTACTGTCTAATATTTAATGCTACAGTCTCTTATTTCTAATGACACAGCATTCTGGATTTCTATTCTGTCCATTCTAAAAGGACTTCACACAGCAACACAGTACATAACCTCTGGGGCAAGCCACTGAGTGATGCACACAGGCTAACCTGGCATCAACTGTTTTCAAGAGGAGAAAGCTGCATTCTGAGTTATGCTTAACTTTATAATTGCACAATTTAGCTGTTGTGTTCATGTCACTGAAAGTACCCAGTAAAGTTGATGTCTAATTCATGCCTATAATCATCTCTCTTATTCTGACAAAGATCTCTTCTACCATGCCTGTTAATACTTTGCCTCATGTGCTCAGTTCCATTTTATAATATAAGTTGTACCCTCTCAGTTCCTTGCAGGGTGATTATTCCACCCAGTGAGTGACTTAAGTAACTGTCAGCATTTTGAGGATCAGTGCAAAACCCAAGTGAACTGTAATCACTACTTATGGTGTCTTTGCTAAAACAAAGCATCAAGCAAGCTTGGTTTATCTTGCTAACAGCAAGCCTGGCTCACCCCCACTTGCCTGCTCTTTGAATTTCCCAGAGAGATGCCCATTGATGTTTATAATTTGAACAAAGCAGGGGATTCTCTGATAATGGCTTCCTTTGATTGCTGTGTCAGGCTGACTCTAGAAAGGGAACAAGGGGAGAGCATTTTATTAATTTTTTTTTTTTTTAAAGTGAACCAACTGATTACTGCAACAAAAGTATTTCCAAGTCCAGAGACTAGATAGAGAACATGAGGAAAATGCTCAGCAGGATGGGAAGAAGCCAAAATAAGAAGGTCTTTGGTTTATTTCTTGTTCTACATTCTGTTGACTATTTCGTATGGTAAATGCCATGTTTTATTAAGCTTAAGAAGCTATCACTGTGATAAGGTGGAAGAATTTTGCACAAAATTATTTTCAGAGTAGACTGTGTCTTCGGATAGAACCATAGGAATCTCGGCCGGGCGCGTGGCTCAGCCTGTAATCCCAGCACTCTGGGAGGCCGAGGCGGGTGGATCACGAGGTCAACAGATCGAGACCATCCTGGTCAACATGGTGAAACCCCGTCTCTACTAAAAATTACACAAAATTAGCTGGGCACGGTGGCGCGTGCCTGTAATCCCAGCTACTCAGGAGGCTGAGGCAGGAGAATTGCCTGAACCCAGGAGGCGGAGGTTGCGGTGAGCCGAGACTGCGCCATTGCACTCCAGCCTGGGTAACAAGAGCGAAACTCCGTCTCAAAAAAGAAAAAAAAAAAGAACAATAGGAATCTCATCCACCTGAATATTTCATGTCAGGTATTACATTTAGAAGAAAGTAGAGAAAAAAGTGCCACATTTTAGTGGCAGAGCATGGCTGGCTGTACATTGTTCTGGAGTTTAGAACTGATGATTTTTTTTCTAAAGTAATTTTTTCATCTCTTTTAGTATCGGCCTATATGTTACTCTGTCTCCTTTAGACATAAAAATGTCTCCTGGTCTTATCTAGCTCCTGACCACACTAAAGGTACCACTCTTGCATTTGTCCTACCACATAGTCTATGGTTCCTTGTTCTATCTCCTCTGGTATTCTCCCCTCAGTCTTTCTGACACTGGTTCTACTTAAGATTCTTTCAGTTGAAGGTCACAGACTTAATTGAAGGAAAAGAATGCATTGACTCATACAACTGATAAATCAGAGGACTTCAGGAGTGGCTAGATCCAGAGTTCCCAAAATACCATCCGGTCCCAGGCATGCTTACACACCTGCTCCCTCCCTCTTTCCCCTTGACCCCCACCTCGGTCTCAGTCTCCTACCCTTACTCCTAGAAGACCCTTACATTCAGGACCTGCTTTAACAGATGTGCTTTCAGTACAAGGAAGGTGAGCAGGATTATATTTAGCCTTTGGAATTCAGGATCTAAGTTTCTACGTATTTTCCTGCATTAATCACAATTTCAGCCATGTAATAAAGGCACAAATAATGCCTACTCTTTGTAATGCCTGCTGTTTGTAAGATCCCTAAACAAAGGCTCCAAAATTATCATTAAGAAACCTCTCAGAACAAAATATGGCCTACATAAAAATTGTTAGACTATTTTTGAATTAACATTAATGACTTTCTTTTGCAGGGTAACCTTTTGTTTTAAAGATGGGTTGTTTTTAAAAATAGACTGCACAGAATTCAAAGGAGGCTCAAGGGCTTATTTTGTCTCCATTGCTTCCTTAGGGAGGCTCTTCTCTCCATCTTGGATTCTGTAAAAATCTCTGGGATAAAAGAAGAGATTCTGTAACTCCCTTGATTATATATTCTGCTCCTTGCCATCTAGCAAGTCTTATTTTGTTGTTTTTTTAAGCGAAGCCTCTGTGCTTCAGTCTAAGCCTCATTCTTCTTTTATACTCTCTTCAGAAATTAACGACTATTTTCTCTATAGAATACTATAATCCATCCAAAAACATTTCTATGGCCTTGTACTTCTCTGTGTCTGGATTTTCAAGATTTTTGGACCTGTGACGATCCCAATCTGTGAGTCAAGGACACCCAAATCTTGTAGGATTAGGAGCCCCGATCAGGCACAAGTTCACTTTCTCAAACGATGATTTGGCTGTTGGCTTTTGTGAATGTGGGCCTTAGGGTAGGATCTTTGACACCAGGCTTACCCACTCCAGCTCTCTCAGTTCTTGTTGCCGAACTTCTTGCTAAATCCACATACATGAATAATAAGAGGAAGAAAAACCATGTCCTAGTCTTTTTCAGTCTGAGCAACCACAAAATTAAATGTTCTTCTGATTTTTAGGGCAAATAAATCTTATAATTTGTGTTGCCAGAATTGGTTTGGAAATTGCAGTATTAGTCATACAGTTCTTTCTTTCTTTCTTTCTTTCTTTCTTTCTTTCTTTCTTTCTTTCTTTCTTTCTTAACTTATTGTTAGGCATCTTAGAAATCATCTGGTATAGCTCATTTATTTTGCATATGAGGAAATTAAGGCCTCAGTGGTCCTACCACATGTCTGTGCCAAACTGGGACAGAGCAGGTCTTCAGATTCCCAGTTTAATTATCTTTCTGCTACATCAGAACCACTAATTGGACCTTTCATGCCATATTCCTATTAAACCATTCCAGCTAGGTGGACATATTTTATTTTAATGGAAGCACTTTAATGCTTTCAAGTAACTTGTGATCATTTCTGATCATTTTCTTGTGCCTAAACACAATATT